TTCACAGTTCTTGTTCTACTCGAACTTGATGTTCTTTTTTGTGAGTCGAATCAAAGGAACAGGTAGGTTAAAAAATTCCTCCATAAACTTGCGGTAATAATTTGTCATTCCGAGAAAGCTACGAATCTCCTTGATCAAGGTTAATTTTTTTCAGCCGAGCACTGCCTCAACTTTTTCGGGATTCACTGACACTTCATCCCTTGATATGATATGCCCTAAGAAGGTAGTCTGTTCAAGCCAGAACTCCCACTTACTCAGCTTTACATACAACTTCTTTTCTCTAAGAACCTGTAAAACATGAGTCAGATAGTGAGCGTACTTCTCTCTACTTTTGGAATAAACCAGGATATCATTGATAAATACAATGACGAACTAATCTAGGAATTATCTAAAAATCATGTTCATCAAATCCATGAAGATAGTTGGTGCATTAGTTAGTCCAAATGGCATGACCAGGAATTCATAATGTCCGTGCCTGGTTTGAACCCACTATCTTGTAATTTATTGATATGTCTTCTCAATTCCTCTATTTCAACACGGCTCATGCAGTAAGGGGCAACTGAAATAGGTTGGGTGTCTGGCTGAAGGTTTATAGTGAATTCAACTTCTCTGTCCACTGGCAGTCCGGGTAGTTCATCCAAAAACACATCTGGAAAGTCTCGGACTACTGGAATCTCCTGAATACAAATTTCTTTATTGAATTTGCCTAGTTAGAGAAAATAGCCGAGTTAAAGCACTTGATAATGAAAAAATTTGCCATGAGGAAAATAATGTTAAAGAATTTTATTAATTTATAAATGATTCCTCATTAGGATGGTTGAATACAAGCTTCTTATAAAAATAATCTACGGTGGTGTGATATGTCGCTAGCTAGTTCATTCCTAGGATTACATCAAAGTTTCTCGTGTCAATCTCGATTAAGTTCACACTCAATTTCCTATCTGTTATATTTATGACATATGCTCTGTATATAATCTCCCTCAGTAGTGTCATACTCTTAGAAATAGATACAAACAATATAGAATCAAGTCTTTCAGGTAATACAAACGGGTCGTCCCCATACCTCGTCCGGTATGAGTACCAAAATACTAATCATCGATACCCGGTCCGGTATGAGCGCTAAAATACTAATTATCGATACCCCGTCCGGTATGAAATAACGTTCACAGTAGGGTTCCCTATGTACCTGGTCTGTTCACCATCTCCCAGGATATCCAGTAAGGCAACCGTTCATCCATTTATTTAATCAAACAATTATCTATTTACCTTTAATTTTTAATTTCCTACTTTAACCATAATTACATAAAATAAGCAATACATGCATCAAGGAAACACAATCGTATCATCATACTAATTTCAGTATATTATCATGCATTCAAAAACTATAAAATTAACTAATCAGCTAAACACGGCAAACAATAATAAATAACTGATTCCAGCTCCATTAGTAATCTATAATTAATTATAGATATTTTTTAAACTATATAAAATATCGTATTATTATTAATTAAACTTTAATTATATAACAGGGAATAAGGTGATGGATTCTTACTCAAATTAATGTCCGAGATGCTAAACTTTTAGTCATGCCTACTAGCGGTCCCTAGGTTCTCTGAATTTTTTTTTCGGGGATAAAAACACACTTCGAGTACCCAAAAATATCCCAAAAAATCCAAAATCAGTGTTAGAAATCCCTTTTGGCCAATTCTGGAATTCTGGCACAGCGACTCTGTCATGCTCCGGCGATGGCACCGTCGCCTGCGGCGGCGATTTGCCTCGCGTTGGCTGTTTTCGGACATTTTCGGCCAATTTCGATTGGTTTTGTACCAATCCCTACAAGAAATGACGTTAAGGGGCATCGGTTGGCCCAAAAAAGTCGAAAAATCGAAGCTTACCAGCGATGGAGTTTTTTCGGTGCGGCGGCTTCGCCGACTCACCTTCGCGGTTAGATGTTTTGCTTCAGTCAACCTATAGAGAAAGGAATAATGATTATAATAGTAGAAAAATTACACGAAACAAGAATCGGAAATGACCTCATCGGACGCAGTTTTTACTTTTTCTCACGGCAGCACCGCCAGGCTTTACCTACGATTTTCAGCTCATCCGCTTGTCATTTTGCTCTGATTTGGTCATGGTGATGTTCGAGTGAATGAAGAAAATTTTACCTCTTTTGGCAGTCGGAAGTGGCTCCGGCGCAGCGGCAGACAGCGGTTGACTCCCTTCCCAGCGACTAACTCTTCTTTTCCAGCGACCGAGGGGAGGGAGGGGGGGGTTTGGCTGG